GTGGGTGTGGGTGAGGGTTTGGGTGGGTGTGGGTGTGGGTGTGGGTGTGAATAAAAATGTGAGTGAGAGTGAAAAGGATGGTACCTGCACTCATACTCTCACTCGCATTGTTACCCACACCCATCCTCACATCCGAGCTCGAGCCGGACCAAGCCTCGAAGGCTCGGGCGTGGTACTTCCCTACTAAAGTCCTGATGTTTATCAATGACGTTATTTTGTTGTTTTGAATGTTATGAGTCTCCGTTGATTCTCATAGTCCTCTCAGTCGACTAAGCCTCGTAGTCTCCTTAGTCCTCTCAGCCGTTCTAGTCCTCTTGGTCCTCCTAGTCCTCTTAGTCCCCGTAGTCTTCTCAGGCCCCCTGGTTCTTTCAGTCCTTCTAGTCTTTTTAGTCTCCCTAAACCCTTAGTCTCTTAGTTCTCCAGATGAATGGAAGCGGTGGATTACAGGCTTGAAGTAGTGAATTTAACAGACTAATTTTTTAGTTCCCCTATTCCCCTACTTTGAATTCGAAATATTGTCCCTTTTTTTTCTCTAAATTCAGATGGAAACATAATATACCATTGTATGACTATTATAAGGATATACATTACGTTGCTTATCCTTGCTAGAATCTAGAAATGCCCATGGTGACGCTACCATTACGGTTTTGAGGGTAAGCTCTCGGCAGAAATTTAGACAGTAATCCAGTATCCATAATTGCAGCATTCTGACACGTAACAAATCTCATCGATCAGTAGAAACAGTTCTAGTCCAAAATAGTCACTATCGTGAAAACTCGAAGATTTTATCAAATATCGGTTCTAACATAATTGCAGCCGCAGCAATTGCGTTGAGGCAGTAGCAAGCTTGTAGCCCTCGTAGATATCATTCCCAATATCTACAAGTTCATAATTTTTAAGGGTATTACAGCATTTTTTCAATGTTATCTCATCATTGTGACGCTTTTTAGCACCTTAGAAAATGGTCTACTACACGAGTGTAATCATCACTGAAAGTGAGGAATCCACGAGAAATTAGAAAAATCTAGCTCTGTTTTTATATGCTGTCTCATCTTCTACTAAAGTTACAACAGAAAATATGCGTATATCATAGCATAAAAAACCTTCTTCAATACTTTGAGTTGTTTCAGGACCTTCCAGAAGATTCCCACTCCATCGAATCCTATCGGATATGAACTGTTTTGATCGAAATTCGACTAGCAGGATTTACTCACCTGGACTTTAATTAGCGACCGAAGGCGCTCACGAGATTAAAAGGAATAAAGGTACTCAAGAAACTCTTTTTATGCTATGATATATGCATATTTTCTATCGTGAGTCTAATAGAAATTGAGTAAACATAGAAACTTGAAATTGGTTGTTCTTAATTTCTCGTAGACCTATGTCGGGAATGTTAGAACGACGTGGTGATGAAGTGAATTAGTATGATATTGCATTTCATACATATATGACCAAAAAATAGACTGGAAAATATTATAATGACAAATAGAAAATAAAGTGTTGTTTCTTCGCTATCAAAAAGAATCTTTACTATACTTGATATGATATGATATTTTGTTTCGTATGCCGAAAACTTGTAGCACTAGTAGACAGATTCTTCATATATATATGCTGATTAGATTTCGTTTATAATACTTTTATTATATTGAATATTAACGATATGCTCACTTGAATGAATTGAAGAATACTGTAGAAATACAGAAAACAACATGATCGACTCTGAGAATTTGAATAGAATGACTATCCTCATAAATACTGACTTAAAGAAAAACAGTGATTGATCGTATTCATTTAAGTTATTTCTTCATTAATAAATCAAGAAAGTTTACGTGACTCCATGATCTTTATGGTTGTTTAGTAATAAACGATGATTGATAGCAAACTTGTTTTCATATCTTACATGCATATTATTATTTGAATATATTCTAATATCATATCTCACATGTATATTATTATTTGAACATATTCTAATATCATATCTCACATGCATGCTATTATTCGAATATATTCTAATATCATATCTCACATGCATGTTATTATTTGAATATATTCTAATATGGGAACTTGTCCGTAAAAGACAATTTTAAGGTGAACACAGAAAAGACCTAAGTATAACTCTTGTAGAATAAAATTATGAAATGGAAAATAATTATCGTAGTTAGTGAGAAGCATAGACATTCAAAATATAATGTATTTAGAAAACATACACGAATTTATTGACGAGGGAACATATTTAGGTGTTTAATCCTTTTAGACTTCATCTTTTAGCGATAGATAAATCTTGATGATATACGAAAAATCTGAAAAAGATTTGTGTCCTCACGAACGGCGTGAGTGTGAATTTCGATGTCGGCATGCGCGTGGATTTAGGTGTTAGTATGAATGCGGGTGTTTCTATCTTCTCTTTCACCTACCACATATCCGAACCCATACCCTCAAATATTACTCATCCTTCATACAATGAGTAATAACTGCTTGCATACTGCTACACATACCACCTTTTTTATTCTTTCGTTCTTATCTCTCTTCTGCCGGACCATAAAATACATGTACTGTTCGATTGTGTACTAGTCTACTTTACACATTTTCGCATTCATGTGTATTCTCGTGGAGCTTGTTCTTATTCATGTGTCTTTGTTATTTCTTCTCTTCTATCTATGTCCGCGTGTTCCTTGTGGTAACGTGTAATAATAGTTATAAAAGAATTTTCTTGCTTAATTTCATCAACAACTGCAACATCTTGCAAATCTTCTATTTGCTTAAGTGGTTAGCTTATGCTGCATGATTCTTCCCTTATAAGCGCTTCCGATCGATACAGTTCGCCTGCAGAAATAAAAAAAAAGTCTTTTTTGTTGTCACAAAAAAAATTGATCGAATTTTTAACTAAATTAAAGAGATGGGTGGGTGTAGGTATGGATGAAATCATATTTTACATTGAGAATCACAATCACACTCTTTTATCATTTACTACGTCAATAAATCTCTTTTTTGAGTGTAATAAAAAGACTTGTGTTGCAACTGCGTCACTGATAAAGTGACTCAAATATCAACAAAAAAAAACATTATTCATTATTCCTACACAACACAAACCTGACACACTTCTTTATCAGTTATATATATGCAACTTTTTTTTTAAACAACACAAATACTCAAAATGGTTACAATAATTGGATTGCTCGTTATTAGCTTGATATCAACGCTATCGTCAGAAGCATTTTACTGTGATTTTGAAAAGTCATGTGAAGATTTCGTATTTGATTCTCATTGGATGGTTCAGAAGGTATCATCACACATTGACCATACATATCAAAATCTTTCTGGTCATTACATAACTTATACAAACACTTCAGTATCACAACCTTTAACTATTATTCGCTCACAATCGATAGAATTAGGACCCAATGAAACAATATGTATCACGCATTGGATGTGGTCCATCAAAGATGGTGCAGTAGATTTCGATATAAATTATGCTCAAGGTGATGATCTACAATCTCAAAGTCCAGGAGCTCACATTGGATTTCCTTTGTCTGACTCAGATTGGAGTGGCGGGACTATAGGAATACCATATATTCTTTCCGATCATTTTTATCTTTTATTAAAATTTAACAGTATGACGAGCCCATTAGATATCGATGATTTGTCGCTTTCAATATGCCCTAGTTCACAATCTAGACCACCAACAACAATAGTTTTCGATTGTGATTTTGATAAAACTTTATGTCCTGAGTTAAAATCACTTTCCAACTATTCTTATACTTGGTCGACAATCGAAGCACAACAAGCACAAAATTACACTTCAACAGCTCCATCAATTGACTATTCAATTGGAAATAAAACAGGTATCTTAATATAACTTCACTCTTTGCATAGTTCTGATCTTTTGTTTTTACTATTCACTATTCTTATAGGTCATTATATCTGGCTCAACAATTTAGATTCGTTGCAATTTGGTGGTGTTGGAAATTTACAGACACCTATCTTTCGTTTTAAACAATCTGATCCTGGATTTTGTCTTAACTTCCAGTATTATGGATTTGGAGCTAGTGTTCAACTAAATAAACTTGCAGTCTTTGCTTTAAGTGAAGAAAATGAAATGTCTGTTCAGCAAGTCTGGCCTGTTAATCCGATTAATTATATATATACCAATAATCGATGGTAAACTATAATATTCGAAATAAAATAATTTTGATCTTCTTTCGAATAGGTCTTGGGCATTTGCTCCATTACTCTTGGGAAACTTTTCTCTCCTGTTTCACATGGACTCACAGTATGAAGTTGGTGGTTCATTTGCAATTGATTCAATCTCGATTCGTTCTTGTGATTATAGTTCAAAATGGTTTTCTCCTACTTCACGTCTTAAATTCACCTGTGACTTTGATTCTTCATCAGATCCTTCATGTGGTATACAGAATGATTATACAGATCTTTCTCCACAATCTGTTATCAATACTACCATACAATCACCAAATACGATTAGTGATCTAGAACTTGGTCCAAGACAAGCAAGTGGTTGGAGTGGTAGTCGATTTTTTTATTGGTCACGTTCTGACAATACATCAACAAATTTAACTACCGGATACTTTAAAACACCTTTAATCGAAACAAATAGAGATATGTGTATTAGATTTTCTTATTTTCTTAATTCGACTGACGTCCAACCTAATCAAAAAAATACCAAAATAGATATTGCAGCTAATGGTTGTGCAGTTTCAACTGTTTGGTCTAATGAATTAGATGATAGTTTTGGATGGCAATTAGTTCAACAACGTTTACCTAATTGTGCTTCGACAGAATCAATTTATTTTCGAATTACCCAAAAGCGTCCGACACGAGTAGCTGTTGCTTTTGATGATATTAGTATTGCACAATGTGGTACAGATGTACTGACGACTACTACACCATCATCAAGTACTACAGATGTAAACAAAAGCTCATCGAATTACATCAATATCATCCTCCTGATTACTATTTTATTACTTATTTTGAATATGCATTTTGAATATTATAATTGATATGATACAGTGAATTGAGAAAATAAAAAGCATTCATTTTTCGATACATGATATATTCTTTTTTTGTTTTTATTACTTTACTTTACCTCACTTTTTCAAAGTAAAATAAAGTTAAAGAGTGTAGGTGTGGGTGCCGGTGTTAGTTTAGTTTTAAATAAAATATCCACACCCACTCACACCCGAACGCACATTCACATCCACATCCACACATACGCCCTCAGAAATATCAGAATTAGTGTCCACCAATTACATGTCCGCGAGAAGAAAAGTTTTTTTTTTTTGAATCGTATTTCTTTTCTTATTCAGACTATTTTATGAGTGGCAATGAAGAAACGCACATCATATCGTAAGCTCTTATCAGTAATAGAACAAAAAACGCAAATAGAATCTTCGCTAACACGTGGAGAATATTTCATCATTTTAATATCGACACGAAACACGCCGTTTCTTGTCGACTGTCTTATCACTCACCACAAATCAATGGATTTATTCTCAATTAATCAAGACAACTTACCAGTTACCACATTGTACTGGCTTGATTCTAATCCCAATAATGCTCAACAATTTGAACATGATTTAAGAACTATTGTTAACATCGATGAATTAAAAATATTTGAGAATCCAAACGAATGTCGAGAATCAGTTATCTTGTCAACTGACAAAACTCTCGTCTTGATTGTCTCTGGTTGTTTCGTGGTACAATTGATACCATACATTCACGACCTAAAACAAGTCTCAGCTATCTATGTCTATTGTTCAAACATAGAATTCTATTTACAATGGAGTAAAATTTATAAAAAAGTAAGTTCCACATGCACAATCGATAGTTGTATTTGAAAAAGTGTGTATTTGTATGTTTAGGTCAAAGATGTTCTGACTCATCGAGATGATTTAATTCAACGTATTTACACGGATAATAAATACCGTCAATTAGTTGGTAATATCAATTTTTTTCATCATCATGAACAATCCCATGAAAATTTAAGATCGCAAAATGTCGTATTTGTCTATCAACAATTGTTTATTGAGATTCTTCTTAGATTAAAAAGACAAGAATCATGTAATAACGATGAATTAATTGCATATCTTTATCAGAAGTTTGCTGATAATAGTTCAGAGTGCAGGAAAATTGAAGAATTTCAACAAGTGTATCGAGTGAATGAGAGTATCCAATGGTACACCCGGCCTGGATGTATTTTTGCTCATTTGAATGCAGCATTGAGAAAATGGGATTTACAGATTGTCGTTCGATATCGATTTTTTATTAAAAGTAAGTGACTGATTTTATTTGTCAAGTCTTCTAATTGAAAGCTATATTATAGATTTGTATCAACAATTGAAAGATGAATACGCACGTCAACGAAATACAACACTGTCAGACATCAAACATGTCTATCGTGGACAACGTTTTTCGTTTCATGAAATACAACAACTACAAAATGCCATTGGTCAATATATTTCCTTCAATTCATTTCTCTCAACTACAAAAGATGAGAACGTAGCAATGATATTTGCTGGTGACGATCCACAACTAGCAGTCTTATTTCATATTGAGATTCAGACAAATATTGATCGATCAACCAAACCTTTTGCATCGATTTCGCATTTGAGTCACATCGGTCTTGGCGACGAAGAAGAGGTACTATTTATGTTAGGTACAATATTTCGTGTTAAATCGTTTGGGAAACGTCTCGCCGAAGACAGTCATTGGATCTTAGAACTTGAGTTAGCCAATGAAAATGAACATTGTCTCAAAGAATTTGGTCATTATCGTCAAGAAGAATTACCTCGAGAAACGAGTCTTGCTAATCTACAATCGCTACTATTAGAAATGAATGGATCTTCTATTTCTACGACTACAAATATAGTCGAGCAAGAGCAATATGACAAATCTAGTCTATGGATAAATCTTTTACATGGAGTAGTAAAAATTATACAAACACCTTTTGGTAATGATACTCATTTATCAATAAAGCCGCTGACTAGTTTAGCATTGACTCATTGCAATAACGGAGATTACAAATTGGCAATCGAACAATTGAACAAATGTCTGTCAATTCACCAGGCAAATCCGGCTACTAATGATTCCACTTCTCTATGTGATACACTCGATAATTTCGCTTTGGTTTATAAAAAAATGGCAGATTATGAGACAGCATTGAGTTATTCCAGTCAATCATTATATATCCGTGAACGAAATCCAGTATCTCATAATCTATCTGTAACTTTAGCTGAAAGTTACATGACAATATCTGATTTATACTTGGCATTGAAAGACTACTATTCAGCATTAGAATTTCGACAATTGAAAGCACTACCAATCTATGTGAATATACAATCAACAAGCAAAAGTCATCAATTGAAACTTGCTCTATTATATTGTTCTATTGGTGTTATTTACGAAGAAATGAAGAATTATAATGCTGCTCTAGATAACTACAAACAGGCATTTCAAATATATGAAAATATCTATCCATTCCATCGAAATAATGATGCTTTTTACCATCACAATGCCGAAATGAAAGATATTACACCGCGATTGATGAGAATGATACATATGACGAAGAGAAACGACGAATTGACTTTAATCGATGGATATTACGGTGAATTCAATGATGAACGAGAAGAAGCACAACGAATGTATTCAACTACTTTATTTCATAGTACTTATTGACTAAACATTTTCTCCGACGAGAAAATAGACATATCTTTTATATTGTAATCATAACTACTGTAGTCTAGCAAAAAGTATCTGCTTGTTAAGTAGCACAACTTATTTTCGAACAATCATACTCTAAAAAGTCATTTGTTTTGAAAGACAACCTTCACTTCTCTATCTGTTAAATAAAGAAGTCATGGACATATATTGACCGAATTATTAATTACATCAGTTTGAAATCTTGAGGGTGTGGGTATATCTTCAATAATTGCATACGTACACTCTCACGGGAACAAACTAGCTTGAATGGAAAACGGGCATTCGTAGAAAATGAGAAACATTTTATTAATATTTTAATACTCTTGCATCTCGAAAGCAAACAATTCAATAGTTTGAATATTTTAATCTCGTTTTCATATTCGATTGTCATCTTGATGCATGATCCACCACATTGGTCCGATCATTCCATAACAGACAATTGACATGAATATTAATTCTATTGAGAATAAACCGATATTCGCACAAAGAAGCAATTGAGAAAGTGACTTTTCTTGTTTTTCTTTGCTCAGATGAATAGGAATCAAGATGCCCAAAAGCAAATTGCTCAAATTAAGTACGACCCATAAGACTAACATAGATAAAAGACGACTACGGCGATGGCAAATCGAGTAAGCAGAAAGATAGGGGAGTTGAATTATTTTAAACAGAAGAGTGATACAAGCCAATGCCATACTCCATTTAACAAGACGATGTAGATCATAGTTTACAGAAAATCGAGAAGAAAATGATGCACAACCAACGCCGATTAATACCAGTTCCGGTAAGATGCTCAGCCCAATAAAAAGAGCATAATAGAAGATGAACGACTTCGATAATGACGTGAAAGAAATACACATAGAGAAGAAAAATAAGAAAAAGATTTATTGAATCAACTGAAAAAGGAAGAAAAAGAAACACAATTAATTTATATTATTTAACTTTCTAGAAAATTATTTTTTTCATTCCATATTATCACTATAACAACGGAGAAGATGTGAAGAAAGGCATGCAACTTTCATTTATTTTCTATGACAGAATAACATTATTATAAGATTTAGTCAGACGGAGACATGACATTATTCACGTTCGAATAGACATGCAAAGTTTGAAAGCCAAAGAGAAATTTGATCGTATTTATCGGTTAGAACTAGGAAAAACACGAGATATGTACAAATTCGTCTGATTTTGAGAAAGCCGAATAATTTGTAGTGGAATAATTACTAATTCTCGTAAACTCATCCGATCTATATCGTGCATTTCATTATTTAAAACAACCGTAGCAATATCATAAATTCTGAGAAATACACCGAAGACGACAAGCATTTTATTTCTTGTTGCTGTCAGAAAGGACAGTTGGTCGTATTTGATGCATCATTTTATAATCCTGACTTTGAATAAGTATGCGAAGACGAAGAAAGGAAAAACAACTCCTACGTTGCGCGTGTTTATACTTTAATTAACATTATCATCGACAAACATAAAAACAAAAGACTTGTGACACATTAAGAAATATGACAGAAAAAGTAAAAGAACGCAGAAAAAAACGTTTTCTCTTTCAAAGAGGATCTCAGTTCTACTAAAATACAGAATCTTGAGGGTGGGTATACTAAGATATATCCACACCCATTGCTTAAATTGTCGTCAAATGTGAAAAATCTGCTCCAAACATTTGTCTCTGGTATCTTGGGAATACGTATATAAAACGCTTTTTATTAAAGGATACGAATATAACGATTGTAACAAGCAATGTAAATGTAAAAAATAAAAAAAGATGAGTTATTGTGATATCAAAAACTTCTGTCGAAGATTATGTTAGCTTGCCCGTTCAGTTGTATTCTCGAATTGGAATACCTTGCCAAGAGGTATAAGGAGGAATATCTTCACCTTTCATGACCAAACTTAATGGACCTAATACTGAACCTAAATCCAGTCGAGTATCTGGTAACATGACTGATAGACAACCAATATTTGTCCGATCTTCCACACAAACTTCACCCATTTTCATAACACGATCTTCAAAAAGATGAGTCTGAAGTTCTACTCCAGTATTTATTACAACCTGATTACCGATATGAATTAAATCGAATTCGGTTATTTGAGTTGTATTAATAAAACAATGATGACCGATTTTCGCGCCAAAGCAACGCAAGATTGGAGCTATAAAGTAAGTTCCTTGAAGAAACTCGAGAATAAGTGGAACGGCTAACTGTTCATAAGTTACTGTAACAAAATCCGATGTCCAAACAAACCAACTCCACAACGGATAATGATTTTTTCGATATTTTCTTATTAGTAACCATTTAAGTGAAATACAAAAGACTAAAGATGGTATGACAAATATAGCCATATAAATAATAGGTAGTAGGAGTAGACAATAAATAAAATGAATCGATCGATTGAAATGATCAAATATTTCAGTAGCTATACCAATTTCTATGACAATAATAATTCTTGGTAAGAATATTCTTATTGTATCGATACATAGCCGTTGACAAACCATACAAATGTTCGGTTGATATGTCGAAGTTTCTGAAGTATCAGGTGGAGGTTGTTCACGATTTGGAAGGACGAATGCAGGTGAACCGAAACATGATTGTTTTGTTTGCAATCCATCTGCTAATAGAGACATACATCCAATTAGACATTCATTTGGTATTTGTTTTCCATCAGGAATGATCGCTGTATTTCCAATAAAGACACGTTTACCAATAGTTGTTTTCTGAAAATGTATTTGTCCAAATTGAATATGTGGATTACACAGAAGAACACCATCAGCAATGAAACATTCATCATCGATTTCTATCAATGAATGAACCATTCCTACGGCTGTCGATACTTCACAATGTCGACCAATTTTCAAACCCAATGCTCGTAGAAAAGGTATCATGTAAAGTGTTGCATAAAAAGTATGAATAATATGCAAAGCAATTGCCAAAATTCCGTCAAATAACCATTTTCGTATATAAACTAATGATTTTGTACTATAAATACCTACCTTTGGCTTGCCAGCAATTAAATAACGAACTGCAATGATTTGTATAATAACCAAACATGTGTATAGAATACCAACGAGTGGACTAAAGATAAAAATTTGAATCCAATTTCTAACAGATTTTAAATTGATATATTCAAAAAGAATGAGACCGGGAATGATTGGTATAAAATAGAACAATGGTATGAATAGTAGAACGATTACTGAAAAAATTATTGTAGTACCAATAGATGTCGTTTTAGTGTTCGTCCAGCTGTTAGGCGGTGCTCTCGAATCAACACAATGTGAATAGGTAGCTGGCGAACCATGCCATACTTCACCTGCAGGTATACATATAGCAGGTGGAAGAAAAGATAAATCATTCAATTCAGAATTATCTTTCATTCTTGTTTCTCCACCTAAAACACTACGACTACCAATATAGACATTTTTTTCAATATAAATACGACGAAATTTTAGTGTGTAATCTTCGACAAAAGCAGTCTGAAAATGAACTTCCGATGATATTGTTGTGTCATCGTCGATTTCTAATAGATCAGGCGCTTCACAATTAATAGAACCAAGATGAACATTACGACCAATTTTGGCGCCGAATAATTGATAATAAATACTCATCAGTGGACTATCAGCGAAAGTTTCAGGCATAGCTAAATTTCGTAATTGTTCAACAGTCCACCATCGGACATACATCCAACCCCATAAAGGAAAATCACCTTCTTTATATCGACCAATAAGAATCCATTTTATAATAAGAGAAAAAAGATGTCGAAATAATGGTACAATAAAAAGTATTCCGTATGCACCAAGACATGCATAGCCAATGCCGTGATGATCATGCAAAATTCGAACAAAAATAATATAAGGTAGAATAAGTTCAAGTGAGACTATACCACCAAGAATAAGAACTACGATTGCTTGATATACACTGCAGAGAATAATTCTTGTATATGAAGGCTTGACGCAAGTGTTCGGAATCTTTAAAGTTGTTTCGTTTTTCTTCTCATCAGATAATAGAGTCAAGCGTTCAGCAAGTTTAGCTGCAGTTCTACATTCATACAAATCATGTAATGCAATGCTAGGAAACCATTGACGCAGTTCAGTAATAGTAAGTGCTGCAATTAATGAATGACCACCAAGATCAATAAAGAAATTATCGTCCGGCTTTGGTTGTTTATGTGGAAAACTCTTTTGAAAAGCACTAAGAACAATATCCAGTGGTTTGCGATTGCTATCGAGTTCATTCGTAGTATTTCTTTCTGAAATAGATATTATTCATTATTTTTAAAGATCCTTCGAACAATCTTATCAATTATATTAATAGTATAATCCTCTTACCTGGCTCAATTTCTATTGCCATAACCTTCAGTTTATCGATATCATCTTTTACTAAAAGAGTAGCAAGAGCTTTGCGATCGATTTTTCCACTAGATAAACGAGGCATTGCTCCATCGATCTTTACTAATCGATCAGGTACCATATAGGAAGGTAATCGATGTCTAAGTTCTTCGCGCATTTGTAATTCACTCAGTTCACCGACGATAAAAGCAATTAGTTGATCGTAGAGCACAGCTACAGCAGCCGATACTACTCTATTTTCAAAGCGAAGTAATTCGTGTTCAATTTCATCAAGTTCAATACGAAATCCACGAAGTTTTACTTGTAAATCAATTCGCTCGTGGAAAAAAATTTGTCCAAATTGAATTGATACACGATCACCTGTACGATATCCATATTCAGTAAATTTCTCTTTTGTTAACGATTCTCGATTGACATAACCCAGAGCAATACCCGGTCCACGAATACATAATTCACCTATTATCTCAGATGTTGGTTGACCAGTAACTTCATCGAGAAGACAGCATACATAGTTGGGTAATGGAGCGCCAATGCTAATCGGTTGACCGGGACGAAGAGATTGAACTGTAGCAGCAACAGTTATTTCAGTAGGACCATAAGAATTAAACACTATACGATCTTCTTTCCACCATCGATCAACAAGTGTCTATTAGAACAAACGAATGAATTTTTTCAACTATTTATAAACTATAAATGTTTTTTTTTATTTCATCTACCTGTGGACAAGCTTCTCCGCCCGTATTGATCAAACGAAGTTTCAGTGCTGGATCGTTATGCATGAGAAGTAATAATGTTGGTACACAAAATAATACAGTAATCGAATGATGAATAAAGAAATTATGTAATTGATCACTCTTTAAAATATCCATTTTCGAAGCAATAACAAGAGTTGCACCAACGGAATATGAAAGAAATGTTTCTTCAAGAAACATATCGAATGCAGCTGATGAACCTTGATAAACAATATCTTCATATTTAATTTGCATCATTTCATTATCAGCACGTATGAAATGACAGATACTTCGATGACTAATAGCAATTGCTTTAGGTTTTCCTGTTGAACCCGATGTACAAATAATATAGGCTGGTAAATTTCTATGAGTATCTACTCTTTTTTGATTAATATTGCCAACGATAAATAAATTCTCGTGTAAATGTTCCACATTAAAAGCTAACGGATGTAGTATAGAAGCTCGAGAATCGACAAGAAGAATAACAATCTGCAAATCATCAAGTATTTCGTTAACACGTTCTTGTGGTGCATCGGCATCGAATGGAACATACGTAGCACCAGTCATCAAAACAGCAAGAATAGTGATATGTAACTGAGCGGAACGTGCTAACCAAATACCCACTCGATCACCTACACCGATGTTTTTCATTTGCTGTAAAACAGAAGCCAAATGCATTGCTCGTTGATGCAGCTGATAATAAGTAATCTCTTCATTTTGCCAACGAAGAGCTATTTTATTTGGAAAACATTTTGCTGTTTGAATAAAAATATCTTGAAGAAATTCATCTTTGAAAAGATCAGGTCTTTCTGGTCCCGATAAAGTCGTCATTTAAAATATCTATCAATAAATATATTCTTTTAGTAAAATATCAACAACTACGATTTACAAATAAAATCTGTGACTACGAAAAATCTTGCAACATAAAAGTTTGTATCGTAACTAGATCTCGAACTATTAACAACGATCTTTGTTACTAATGCAATTTAGAAAAAGTTTCAATACGTACTTGTCTTTTAATGAAAATAATTAATAATAATATTCATAGATAGTGAAAATAAAGCTTTTACGCGACGGAGAAAAAGGAAGAACGACAAGAAAAGGTTACTCGTATAAAAGTGCATTCATTAGATGACGTAGTAAATATCAAAATCAAACGATGGTATACATTTATAGATATAGTTATTATAAACTGGTAAGTATAGCAATAGAGACGAGAGTGTAGGTGTGAGAATATCATTTGTGATCTCAAACCTACACCCTCAATCTGGAAGAAAAAAAAATAGAAAATTTAATACATTTTGAAAAACGATATTTTTCGACTGAAAAGAAAGATTTACTGAAGCTAAAAAGTAGTTTTTCATGATCAGCAATTCTTTTTCTATCAAATGATATAAAAATTGTGAAAAATTTAAATTGTCTGCACCTTTTTATTATTGTAAAAAAAAAAATTTCCCATTTAATTGTCTCTCAAGTGATTCACTTTTTTTATCATTGGGGATAGTAATATGACATATATAAAAAAATAGTCACATGTGTGTTGTTTTTTCATACGTATACATCGTTTAATATTATACAACGTGATCGAAGAACAGAAAAAACATCCATATGTATCTTTACCTTTACTTTAATTAAGAGCGTAGTCTGAATGGTAGCTGTTATTAAGTTTCAAGATGATTATTATTCAAAGGAAATAGTAAACAAATGAATTGTTATAGATTGGGAATATGAAGCTCATAAATATGCAGATAAAGAACAAAATGATTTCAATTACGGACATTTTTCATGAATATGTGTATTTATTATTACATTGTTGATTAATCAAGCATAATGATCTATTGTATTAGTTTTTAATAAATATTTTTAAACTAGATTTGCGTAAGCTTCATTCTCTCTTACACAGTTATAATTACGTTCTTTGAATCGAATGTATCTATATTAATTAGAGATCTGCGGGACAGTCCCGAATTTTTTTGTATCTATATAAAAATGTGTGGTCCACTTTAATTCTTTTATTTCCAATAAATATATTACTATTTTAATAAATAATAGAGAAAAAAAGAAATAATGAAAAATTTGTCTACAGCTGTTTATTGCGTGACAAACAGGATTCGGGACAGAAATAAGTTTGTCCCGCAGATCTCTAATATCAATACAATTTAATGGTAATATTGATTTTCATAACTTCAAGTACTTCATAATTAGTTCATTCGATAGCGAATGTTTTGTTCCTTACAACTGTAAAGAATATGGACCATCTTGACAGTGGATGTGAGTGAAAGAAAAGATAGAAACACCCATATCCACACTCTCAATAAAAACGACAGGGACCAACCGACTGGTTGGTAGTGTCAACAATGACTGAATGTGTGGCAACACACACAGTAAAGAGACAGATGAAAATATTCAACGTCAGGAAAAATTAGACTATTGCAATTAAATGTAAATGTAAAAGAAAGAGAAAAAAACCAGACGACAAGAGAACAAATAGAATGCCATATAAACAATTTTCTTTGTTGTTTTACAACATTTTCACTATTTTTATGTTTCTCACTGACTACACTTTCTGGGAAAAAAGAAAAATAAGAAAAAAATTTCCGTGAAAATCTACGGAAGACAACCATAAAAGCGATACAATCTTTTATTTTTATTAGCAAACATACTGGCGATTTCTCTAGTTTTTGCAGACTATAGATTCAAAAAAGTAAGAAATAGTATCTTGACGGTGTGGGTGTGAGTGTATCTTCTTTAGACATACCTCACCCACATCCTGAATTATTAACAAGAGCACACTGGAAGGATTCGCGTTTAATCGTTTCGAATGTTTGTGCGCCGAGAAGAAGTTGCTCGGCACCATCAATAATTGAATGAAGTTCTACGAATTCTTCGTCACTCATTCCGTTAACCATGGTGGGGATGGTTATTGATGCACAAAAAATCCCATGTTTTTTTTTGTTAAAGTGGTTCGTTTCGTCTTGCTCTTCATTTTAGGTGTCTTAGCAACTTACACTTTTTTCTCTTTACTTCACATCGCAATAACACTTTCTTTTTTTTTCTTGCTCTTTCTTTTTTCTTTTCTTCCTCTTTACTTCGCGTCAAAATAGTATTTTCAATTGTTAAGGAGACTAATAGAGTAGCAGTCATTCTAATTTCACCGAAACCTGATCAGTTACTCGATTGCACTCATTGTGTAACTATCGACATCTTGCTTAGAATCACATAGTTTCTAAAATATACTTCTTCATCAATGCTACCGTCAATTTGCTCATCATTATTAAACCAACATGGCTATACGCAATACAGCTTCACATTCATAACGTCAGTAAAAAAAACGTTGAATAGTAAATCTTTCAAATGGATTCTCGAGCCTTGAAAGTCGTGCATCCAATTTTCATCAATTCTCGAAGGAGTTTATAAAAAATCGATGTACGATTTATGAGGCTTACAAAGTCACTTGAAGGGTTTATTATTTTACGCTTTTTTTTACAATTTCTTTCATATATCTGACACGCTTAGACTTCAGTTTCCTATGAAGGATCGACAAATTAAGCTTCACTTCGAATTTAAGACACTATGAGTCGAATGAGAATATGAGTCACTTGTTGATGTATGACTTACACTGATACTCTACAAAATTCATATGATTTTTATAATCGAATGATTATCTGTGTTTTTTCGAGCCATGTAGCAGAGCTATAGTATGTATAGTGTTGTGTAAGCTTCTTATATTTATTAGATGTATTGACCTTTTCGAAGCAAAAACGAATACTAAAAGAGTTTAAAATACGCATCCAACGGACCTCCAGAAGTGATTTTTACTGACGATCGTTTTTTTTCTTCTCTTCTTGCTCATCAAGAGTTTCGTATGCAATACCTCTTAGTTAATGCTAAAATGAGTTTATCTTCATTCGATTGCTATATAAAAATGTTTGTTTCCGTGTAGATACACTACGACTTGACATATCTAATACGATGCCGTCACGTTCTCACAAGCAACTGGAATGTTGGGGCAATGCTTGTCCTACTTGTGGTTATTGTCGTGATTGGAAGCATAGCGGTCGTAATTGGTATCGTAATCCTAACGCAACTTGTAATGATTATCGTTATTGGCACTATAATATCTATCGTTATTTTCCTGCTGTTCAGCGTGAAATAGGTGCTCGAATGATTAAACCTCCTAGTTTTCATCGTGGTTATAGTGGCCATCATATTATCTTTGGTTGTCCTACTCATATAGAGCATCATCCTTTATGTGAATGTATGAAGTAGATACAGATACTGAGATACATTCTACTAGACAATAACAACTAATTTACTTGAATTAATTATAAAACGACTGATTTACACTAAAAAGTATCTTTGATTTCTATAAGGACGTGTCTGTGCTTGATCGGTTTGCAAATGACGAGTGAGCATAATAAATTGTATTAAAAACAAATACAAATTTATTTGTAAGTATGTATTTGTTGTATTAATTTCTATTTAAATAAATCTTGCCTCATCACCCTGATGAAGGGATCATGATTTCCTATGAATGTCTTTTAAAGGACTATGTAGTGGAAAATAATAGTATTACTGTTCTTTTTCAATATAAAGTCATGCATTTTTATTTCAACGTAGCGTGTGTCGAGGGTGTGGGTAAGACTGTAGGTGTGGTTAATGATATATACGACACCCACATCGGTACACTCAGCCACCTTCGATTGCATTAAAACTTAAAACAAAAACAATGTTTTCTTTCTTCTGTTTGTTTGAAATAAAGTACGAGGGGTGGTAACTACACGTAACGTAGTCGATACTTTCTTTGATTAAATCTAGACAATGATAAGAAATGTTTACTGTTTGTCTTCTTTCATAATGATTCCTATTAATTAAGTTAAATCAATTTGAGAATGTATAAAATCGATAATCATAATTTATCATTCTATAATTCATTGAAGTGAATATGCATTGATTACGAGAATACTTTCTAAGTGCTTAAAATACAAAGAATTTGTCTTCAAAGGACATTCGTTGATGAATATTGAGTCTTTTAAGAGTAATCTCACTGAACTTTGGTTTAAGCTGCATATTATACGTTAATACATACTTTTAATTGAACAATTATAACGACTTAACATTTTTTTTCATATGAGAATGAGGTATAAGTTTAAACATGAAAAAGCTTTATTTTAAAACACTGTTTTATGTAACAGTAAAATACAATAGACATTACAAAGACATTTACGAAAGCTCATTAAAAGTAAAATAAATTAGTCTGAATTAGTTGAAGAACAACATTCACAAGTATTCCAAAGAATAAGCAATTGTCCTGTTAAATAAGTAGCTACAACTATATCTGATCGTCCGTCGTTATTAAAATCACCAACGGTCAACATTCGTGGAGTAGTATCATTTCCAATTGAGAAATGTATTTCTGCTCTAAAGGTTCCGTTGCCATTTCCAACCATTATTCCTATATCAGCTGTATAATCATTGGTAAAAGCAATATCTAAATACTGATCACCATTAAAATCTGCAGCAACCATTGATGTTGGAAAATTATAATGTCCTGTCGTAAATGTTAACATTTGCCCGAAACTCCCATCACCATTATTAAGATAGACGTCTAATTCATGGTTTGATAAATCAAAAATAGCAATATCTAAGTAATCATCATTATTAAATTTAGCAGCAACAAGCGATCCTAAAATACTTTGATATCCAACTGATAAAGTTGTTTGATTTTGAAATTTACCAGTACCGTGGCCAAGAAATAGATAAATATTATTCTGAGATGAATTATTATCAACAACAACAAAATCTAATCGTTGATCATTATTAAAATCACCGACAACTACTTTTGACAGAATACTGCTATGTCCAGTGGACAATGTTATTAGATTTTCAAACGTTCCATTACTAACACCAAACACGATACCTACGTATGATTCGGAATAATCAGAACTAATAACATCTAATCGATCATCACCATTGAAATCACCAATAGCTATTGACCATGAATGATTAGATGGTCCAGGTGAAACTATTAACGATTGTTCAAACGATCCATTACCTATGCCAAGTAGAACTTGCAAATCGTTTGTAAAATGACTAAAAATAATCAGATCTAATCGACTATCATTATTAACATCCGTTACAATAATGTAAGGTCCATAATATGCAGCTGTATTCGAAAAGTTTAAGTATTCTCCAAAGGTTTTATTACCGCTATTTAATAGTATACCTATATTGTAGTCGAGAGTAACAAGAATAAGAAGATCTAAATAATTATCTCCATTAAAATCACCGATACTAATAAAACTCGGCCAAGAGGAAGAACCATATGAAGAGATAATACTTGATTCAAATGTTAACTGACAGGTTTTTTCTAGAAAGAAAAAAAACTACAATAGCTCAAATTCGTATTCAAACTCTTAATGAACCTGCTGGAACAAATGTTGTTGTTGCCGATATGTTTTCATTCACCGATGGAATAGTTGTATTTATCATTGAAACTACTAACGAAAAGAACAATGGTAAGAATTATTTAGAAAAATATAATTATACCTGTTGATGATACAGAAGTATTCTTTTCTCGTTGAGTAAAATAAACAGATGGAATTGTAACAATTGTTATCAGTAGTATGAATAAACTAATTCCAAATAAAACAGTATGACGTTGTAATGTATACCTTAGGAATATAATTGGTTTTATTGATAAATCAATATTATCGACTTGATTAATGTCATGTGCATTTCTTGTTACTTCACTATTTTCAGTAGGAATAGAATAAATTGGTTCAATACGATTGATTCGCTTCTTCTTACAACGTTCATAAACTTTCGCTAGTAAATACATAAATGTTGGACAAATCCATTTGAGAACAACAGTAAGACCACCATAGAGACCAAGTAGACGAGTTATTGTATAAAGTGCATTTAACTTTTGAATATAAGTGTAGGAACATACTGTTGGTAAACATTGATTAAAATATAATGTATAATTAATTGTTATAGACCAATTGTCAATAAAAAGCTTATTGATTAGATCAATGACAGTTGCATTTATTGAAGGAGATTCGAGAACATTTGTATTGTTTACATTACTTGAGTAATTAATATGTTCATAAATGAGATTAATACATGATAAATTATAAAAACATTCAAGAGTTGAAGCAAAGAATGATTCAGTTGGCGTACAACCCATTCTTAATCCTTGGATTGGAATAGTTTCTGATGAATTTGTTTGAATAAAACTAGCTGGAATGGTACAACTTGCATTTAATGCACATGAACAATTATTATCATAAATAATTCCTTGTGTTCGCATTACATAAGCAATAATTGTATTTCCCGAAGATCTGTCAGGTAAGAGATATTCGTAGTTTGTTCCATAAGATGATATGATTGCATTACCATGATTAATATCTCTATGTAAAGAGAGATAGCGAAGAAGCATTACAGGAGCATTCGATTTATTTTCTTCAATAAGTGCTTCCATTTGTGTATTTAAAATTGATTCCGGTAGAAGTTGAATAGTAACAAATAATGAAGAAAGAAATTGTTGAATGAAAGCATTGACTGATTGATTAGAAAGATCACATAATCCAGCAAGATATTGTAAATGAGCGGATAGAAAACGACGATAATCTCTTCGATCATAATTGGATAGATTGGAAAGAATACCAGTTGTAATATTTATTCGCCATTCATTTGAAATGAAGTGACTTGAACATACCTGATGAAAGATAGGTTCAATCTTGATATATTTACCATATGTTGATGATGTTATTGAACAAGGACAATGAAGTGTATCACCATGATTTTGTAGAAGATATTCATAAGTTTCAAGAGATGGTTTAGTAAAAGTCTTTGTTAAAATTTCAGGTTGTACAAGAGTTTGAAGGCTAAGAATGACACCACCAATAATAAGTAACAAAACATAAAGACGACTAGCTAATTGATTCAAACGTTTTGCTTTTACTCGATCATTAATTTGTCCAAAACTATATGATGGAAATATTGTCAGAGTGATTAGTTCAGTATAAAGTAGTTTCAATAAATTTTTCAATAATATTTTCATTCGTGCAAAGAATTTACTCTGCTGTGAAGTTTTGTTTTTTCGTTCGAAAAATTGATAAATAAAATTGACCATATGAGGTGTAATAAATCGTAAGGCAACAATAAGACCGCCAACAGTCGATATTATTTTAGTAATTACTTCAATATAATTATATGTTCGAGCTGTATAAGAATAAGTACAATAATTTGGTGCACATGTTTTGTAATACAGATTAAACGAAGCTTGATAATTCCATTGTTCAATCATCATTTCTTTTGTAATGTCTGATAATGACGTGTTTGGATGGAAACGATTAGACAATGGGTCATACTTAAGTAGTTCTGGACTAAACCAAGGTATTTCTGTATCTATAAGATTATATGATGTATTCATATAAGTTAATAAAATAGATAAACAATCAGAATTTGAATAGAAACATTCCAGAGTTGATAAAAGAAATGAATCAAGAGCATAACAACCATCAATTGAACCCGGTATTGCATAAGTCATAATAGCATCACCGGTATTATTTGATGTAATTAATGGGTTGTACAAACCACTTTGTTTTTGGCAATATGGATTGATAGCACATATACAATTATTGAATACTCCAGTTGTATTGAACATACCAGTGAAAGAAAAAA